TGGCAAGCCAAGAGAGGTCAGGATCTGAGAGTGAAAGATAGATGTTTCTATTCTTACTGTTTCATTAACTTAGGAGGCAAGAAGGGGCAATCTCATCCTTTTGAAATGAATTATTGTGTCTATGTATTAAAAGCTGTGTCTGTGAAAGATTAGGTGGATCATCATTAATGACTTAGGATGGGGAAGAAAATGGATATAAATAATAATAGTAATTAATAATAATAATTAATAAGTTATTTTGATCGTACTTTCCAATACCAGTTGTCTAGAAAGTGCTTAAGAATAATAAAAACCAAGCCATACACAAAGTTATGAGAACTAAAAGCCAACAACAAAACAGGTTGAAAGGATTAAAAGGAATTAAAGAAAAAACAATGTTAAACACATTAAAGTTAGGTTTGGAAAGAAAGATTTGCAGATTAAAACAAGAGTAAGGTTTAAATATTCAAAGTATCTGCGAAAACAAATGCAATATGAGCTGCTCCAGATTCTGGTGGAATAGTTAGAACATTATACATATTACGTATTTTCCTCATAGGTAATTAAAAGCATTTAAAATCAATTTTAAAAGGCAACCAGTGTAATGAGGCTAGAACTGCAGTAATGTGAGAAGACCATTTTGTGTTGGAAGTCTGACATGGGACTTTTAAATGAGTTGTGGACAAGACTGAGTGGAAAAAGCATTACAATAATATGAGCAGGAGTGTTGGGGGAGAGGAGAGGGAAGGAAAGAAGACGATGCAAGGAGAGAGACGGGAGAGGAAAAGCATGGATTTGAGTGAAAAAGAGGAGACAGGAGGCAGCCGGCCGTATGCTGTATTTCTTGGATGAACTTGCTACTTGCAGCTTGGCAGCATTTGCCTCTTAAAGTTTGCTTTTCACTTGTATATGTTCTACATCCAGCTGGAAGTATCAAGCAAATTTTGCTACGTCAATGTGTTTACGACAACTTTTTTTTTTTCCTCTGGGCCTGCTCTTTATGATTTCCTTGCCCCCTGGTATGCATAATTAAAGTCTGAATGTCTGCCCACTAGAGAAAATTACATTTGTTAAGTCTGGCTACTCATCAGCAGCTTCAGCATAGAGAATTTGTCCTTTCTAAACTCTGATCAGCTGCTCAGGAAAAGTCAAGCAGTGCCTGGTTTAAGTCCCAATTACACCACCTCTTTTTCCTAGAAAGCCTGGTACTCATTATAGTGAGCGCGGCTCCCAGCAGGACAGTGTGAATGTGTGAGTGTGTGTGGCTGACATCGCGTCTATGTGTGTTTGAGATAAAGACAGGCTGAGAGCCGATGTGTTGCAGCTCATGCTTATGTTTTTCTACTCATAGCTTACATTTTTCTAGCCCTCAAGTCTTTCCAGTCCCATCAGTTTACAGTACAGTCATTGGCCGACGGATTGCCTCTCCTCTCTGTGTCCTCTCTCCCTCCTCAGGCCTCGGGGAGCTCATTTACAGAGCCCTAGATCTCAGTGCCAGGCCCGACCTGCCTCCCTGCCAAAGCCCTTTCAGGAATGGTGGAGGAGGAGAAAAAGTCAGGGTACTAGGGGGGAAAAATGGCTTCTTTTTTTTAATCACTACAAGAAAAACGCTACTGGATGGTCAAGTTTCATAATACTCACCATCATGGCCTCACTGCCTCTGGAAGCCCCGCCTCCAACCACCTCTCCCCTTCTCACACAGACAAAACACTAACATTTAATAACAAAATTTAAAAAAAAGAAGGCTTTTTCACCAATGACTTTAATTGGACTTGAGCCATTTGACTTGAAAATACTTGATAACTTCCCCCAGGCCCAAAGATTAAAAAGTATGTTCCACAAATCAATTCATTTTCTAAAACGGCTATATATTAATTAATTAATTCCCAGCAAGTTGACACTTAATTCCCCAGATCCTTTGTTTTAAACCAGTCCAACAGCATCCAATCAAGCTGCAGGAGAGAACCGTGAAGAACCAACGTTAGTATCATTCGTTCTGTTGTTAAAATGGTATTATATTTGGGGAAGAGCGCATTGTGACATTGTAGCACCCGAAACTTGGGACTTGAGTGCAAAGACTTAAGACTTCCTTGTGACTTGCATGTAGTCTTATAGGACATTTACGAAAACTTACACAAATAGAATAAATTATATGATATTACTACAAATATATCTGTATCAGTGTATATGTCGACCGATGATTGACGAGAAAATCAAAGTACAGAAACTTCAAAGACACAAGCAGTCGTTCCATTACATATTTTGTCCACCAGCGAGCATTGACATTCTGCCATTGTCGTTCTGTCTCAGTCCACCTTAATACAAAGCCAAAAGCAGCACCCAGTGTTACTGTATTATTTTAGGCAGACGTTTTACTTCCATTCAGGTTTTTCGTCCAGGCAGGAAACGGTAGTAAAACTGTCCCTCTGAGAGGACACAAAGAAAGAGAGAGGCCATCACACTCCATTAGTCTTGGCACTGTGAGGCGAGGAGAGCTGAGGGAAAGAGAAACTCATTCTTGTTCCCTTTTATTTGGGCGGTGAAACAGTCAGGACAGTAGCACAATGTCACTGTTAAGAGTTTGGAAAAGTTTTGGTGATGACCTTTGATACATGACATAAATATGAAACCATAAAAAATCACTCTCTCTACTGTAACTGTAACTGTAAGAATGAAAGCAATGCAGTGATGTGCAAAGTGGGTTTTCTAATGTAAACATTATTTTAAAGCTTTCCTTTGTAGAGGTTGTACAGATTAAAACAGCAAAGAGGACAAATATTAGAAAGATGATTATCCCAGCTAAAACATTGGCACAAATGTGGAACTTCTCTATAGTACTTTTTTTTACTATTTTTTGACCTTTTCTAGTTACTTTCCTCCTACCACCATATGTCAATGATAAAAACATATATTTATATTTACCTTAATAACTCAGGAAACTGTTTAACATTTACCTTTTATGTGTCTGTGTTGGCAGGAGGCTGCATTATACCTGAGGAGGCACAAACAGGAACTGGAGCTCCTTTTGATTGGCAGTAAAACCATGGGTGTGGAATTTACTGAAGGGGTGAGTTAACAGAATATAACATTATCCCAAGTCTGGTTCATTTTTCATGTATAATTACAAACTCGAAGCAGACTGAGTGCCCTTCAATTCTCAGTCTTTGCCCAGAAATGAAAATAGATTGTGTAATTTAACGGGCAGTTATCCATAAGCCAATCCACATGTCTCTGATGCAGAGCAGATCTTCTGTTGCGTGTGTAAACCATTAATGTGCCACTACTGCCTGGCTGACTCAATGCAGGGTAACAGGTGTCTGGCACGGCTACCGTCCACCACTGTCTTCTCAAACAGCAGCGACACCTGCTGGCCAAACTGACACTTGTCATAGTTCACATTTCTGTGCAGATTATACATTTCCCCCTGTCTTTGTTGCAGAATTACTGGAGCAGCACAGGTGGAAGAGATGACTCAAACAGGTAGAGAGATCTCAGCATCTGTCAAACTGTGAAAAGTGTACTCTTGAACATATTACAATAGTTTGTCTTCTCATTACCTCAACTGTGTATTTCGATGTTAAACGTTTAAATCAGTATTTTTGTATGTGGATCATGTGTGGCGTGAAAAGGGTTTCCAGTAGGGACGAATCCACAGAGAATGATACCCTACTTTGCAGTTTGCCTTAAGTCTATAGAGTATTTATTGCTTATTTCACCTTTAGTTCACTCTCACTGTTAGTTCACTTTCACCGTTCTCACATCATTTTCATTAGAAGCTGTTTTCAGCATTTAGCAGCTAAAGTGTCAGATTTTTCAATCAGGAGTTGGTAGAGCCCAAAAATAGAGCTAAAAGGAGAGTGACTATTGGAATCATAATGTTGCTTCATATCCATTTCCGATGTGGAAATAGACAACAATTTTCATCAAGTCATCATATTAATTTAAACTCAGTGATAATATGTCAAGACATTTTGTAACAATTTGGTTTGTCCACCTACAGGTAGTTTATAGTATTTGTAACATTTTTAGTTGAGATTCAACATTTGGTTATGTTTAGGCTTAACATCTTGGTTCATGTGATGTGGAAACCTCTTGGGTATGTTTATGAATTTCCATATGTACAGATATGTATAGATAAGCTGTTAAACATTTAGAGACAAAGTGAAACAGTTGAAATGTTATAAAACATATAAATCGTTTTAAATCGTAATTTTGAGCACGACAAAACACATTCTCTATTCTCTGTTCTCCCAGGATTCCCTCTGGTACAGACGGTTGGATGGAGTATGTTCCCATCTCGGAGAAGAAGACAGTCACTGTTGCTGCTCCACAGCAACTCAAAGAAGGTAAATCTTCACTGCAACCGGAGCAGAAGCAGAACGACAGTTATACTGCTAAGAGAAAGTCATTAGTGTTCAGTTAGATCTTATCTGACCACCATGGTGGAGATGTTGCTTTCTTTAAATACTGTTCTGTGATCTGTGTAGGTGGCCCCTTGGTGTATGACAGTGTGAAGCTGGTGCAGAACTCTGCAGCCTTGAACGGGACCCAGCGGGTGCTGCTGGATCATGTTATATCTGAGGAGGAGTGTTCAGACCTCAGACACCTGGCACATGTAAGGGCATTGCACAACGTTAATAAAATATGGATTATAAATCACTCATGAACAGTAAAAAATCTTACAGTTGACTGAAATGAGTTTGTTCCTGTGCTAACAGTAAAGATCATTACTTCAGCATGTATTTGAAGCTTGATTGTGGCTTTTTATTGTGCCTCCAGGCTGTCACCATGGCAGGAGACGGATACAGAGGGAGGATGTCTCCACACACTCCCAATGAGAAGTTTGAAGGAGCCACTGTACTTAAAACCCTGCAGGTACTCTAACCACTAAACATGACTACTGTGTGATCTACAAAGATTGAATCCAACCAAATAGTTGTCAAGGTTGCAAGAAGCCGGTATAATATTAGAGAACAGTTGAATTCAGGATCCAACAATAACTTTCTGGCTCATCTGCTAATGGCAGGTAAACTGACAAAATGTACCAATCAATCAGTCAGTTTTACCTGCCATAAAACTGCATCTTGCATTATTTGAGTTAAAATAATTGCTAACGTTGCGATGGGTACAGTGGACAGTGGGGGTCACATTAGAGTTCATTAAAATGTGTCCCAACTTACCGTTATAGTATCTTTCTTTTATTGTTTTATGCTTTTATTGACTATACTCGTTACAGTTTCTATTTTGTTTTTTCTTCACTGCAGTACGGCTACGAGGGAAGAGTACCAATGAGGAGCGCTCGTCTGTTCTACGATGTCAGTGAGCGAGCAAGGCGAATTATTGAGTCTTACTTTCTGCTCAACTCCACCCTGCACTTCTCCTACACACACCTGGTGTGTCGAACAGCTATCACAGGTCACTAACACACACACACACACACACACACACACACACTTGACACCAAAACACACATTTTATATTGTGTCTTTACTGGTTTTAACTGTTAATGAGGGCAACATAGAATTAGCTTCAATTCATGTACTTTTAAATATATGTATTCATGCTTTTTGTGTGTTGGTTGTCTGTTCACAGGCCAGCAAGATCACAGGAATGACTTGAGCCATCCCATCCATGCTGACAACTGTCTGCTGGACCCAGAGGCCAACGAGTGCTGGAAGGAACCACCAGCATATACATACAGAGACTACAGGTACGAGGTTCCTACTGTCAGCACAGTTAGAAATGATGAACCTACTTTGCTGCAGCTGTATTACAGTGAAAGATGAACAATGGTCACTATCATCTCCCTCAACTTAATGTTGAGTCTGTACTGATCTCTCCTTTACTTTATTTTCAGTGCACTGTTATATCTAAATGGAGATTTTGAAGGAGGGGAGTTCATATTCACAGAAATGGATGCCAAAACAGTCACGGTAAGACCTGACATTTACTTTTTTCTGCAGGACTAATCTGGGCCTGGTCACCCCCTTTTGAGGAATGGACAAAGATACTTAGTAACTTTGGCTAAAATAACCACACACACTCTCCTCTAAAAAAGGTTAAATAATGTATCGACAGTATTGACAGTAACAACTTTGGTACAATCAAGCTATACTTAAGGTGTTATCTCTGTTAACCTGTCCTCTGTTCCTCCTCCATCTCTTCCATCCTCTCCAGGCGTCAGTGAAGCCAAAGTGCGGCAGGATGGTGGGTTTCTCATCAGGAGGGGAGAATCCTCACGGTGTGAAGGCCGTCACCAACGGACAGCGGTGTGCTGTCGCTCTGTGGTTCACCCTGGACCCGCTCTTCAGAGAACTGGTAAACTAATGTTTCAATTAATAACCATTCTTCTTCTAGGTTCATCCTAATGTTGACATATTGACTGAGGATTTACTAATGGAGTCAGGGTAGATAAGGTAATGTAGTGGTACATGAATTAGTGGCATACCTCTGGGGATGGCAGTGTTGGTCTGTCGGTCGGTCGGTCAATATCTCAACAATTAATGGAAAGATTATTTTGTACAGAGATTCATAATCCACAGGGGATGAAACCTACTGACACTGGTGGTACTGACAACTTTTGGATGGATTTCCATGAAAGTTCAGACATGTTCCCCTCAAGATGAATTGTAATTGACTTTGATGATCGTTTGATCAGGTCAAAAAATGTTATTTGTCCAGCACTTTTATGATCAAATACCTTCAAAATTAATGACATTCCCATTAGCCTCAGCTCTACTTTGCCAGTTTCTAACTTGTTTAGTGCTGTAGAGTGGCTGTAGACTATTTCATCTTACTGCATCTTGTAGTATGGGAATAAATTGTGACTTAGCAGCTAAAAATTAATATTATAGCAGTTCATTAAAGGGTATTAACAGTTTTTTGTGTTAGACTAGAATTTAAGAGATTCCTGTGAGAAAGAAAAGTACTGCCATGAGAAAGTGAACGTGTTTGCTCTGAGAAGCCTGGGAACAGATGCTGTTATAATTTTTTAACCTTGAGCTGGATAGATAGCAAAGCCTATATGTGTGTATGCAGCAACCGGGTAAAACCAATTATACTCTATTATAAAAAGGATGGGAAACTATTATTGGATCAAATCCAAGCTGGTAGGTTTGGGAGGCACATCAGACAAATATTGCTTTGGCTAGCTTAAGAACAATTATTGCTCTAGCTTGAAGATGAACTTCCATTTTCACTATTCTGACCTTCATCAATAATTCCCCCCCCCTTTTCTCTCCCAGGAGAGACTGCAGGCGGATGAGGTGATCCAGGCATTGGACACACAGTCTGTGTGGGGTCAGGGCCTCACCATCAACCCTAAAGATGAACTGTAGAAACAGAAAAAAACTGCTTCACCCCTTTCCATCAAATCCTTCTATATACTTTAACTACTTATTGAATTGACCTTTGGATCAGAACATTTCTATTTTTGTACTGTTTGAAGTGCAAGATTAATAATATTGTCCGTTTTGTGTTGTCAGTCGTATTTGTCAGGTTTTTTTTGTTGTTGTTTTGTTTCTCTACACACAATTACTTGAGTTTACCTTTGGTTCTTTGTCTTTCCTTCCAGTGACAGCCTCTAGTAGAGAAAAAAAATCCAATTCACTTTATTTTGTTGTACCTGGTGAGTTGGCAAAGTAGACCATTATATATGTAAGACTGCTCATAACCTGTAATCTCACTAAACTGTGAAGAAGCCAAGGAGAAGAACGGTGGTTGACATTTCTTTTTTGCTTTGAGTTGTTCTGAACAACATATTCAATTCATTCAAAAACACTATGTACAGATAGTAAGAAATTAATTTCATTTCAGTGGTCAGTGGTTAAATAATATTAGATTAAGTCTTCACAACTGGTACAGTTAACATATTCGTATTTCTAAACAAAATTATGTTATTTTTAGGAATGCGTTTTTTTTTTATTTTTTATTTCAGTGCCAGTAATAATTATTTTCACCGTAGGCAGAGCACTGTTTTTCTAATTTGGGTATCTGATTTTCAAATAGCACTCATACAAAGACTTTAAGAAAGAGATATGTTTTAATATGCTGAATATTTAATGATCATGCACTCTGCCCTTCTCTGTGTGTCAAGTCTTAAACTGTCTTCTGTCACTACTTTTTGTCCACTTTTCTTCTTGTTGTTGGCGTGTTAAATCACTCCCCTCCTTTCTGGGCACACAGAGCAGAATACTGGTTTACATGTTCACTGACATGAGAAGATGTTGTATGTGTTTGTGTTTGACTTTTATTTATGTGGTTTTATTAATAGACAGCTGCTGTTGTAACTGTCGGCATTTAATATTAGGAACTTTTATTCATAAAAGCTGTTAATCGTTCCTGTTTCAAGGAATACATATTCGTTCGGCCTTTTATGTCTTTATATTTGTGTTGATGATACAGGTGATATGCCGAGTCGTGCACTGTAAATCCAATGGAAAGAAACATACAAAGAGTAGCTTTCTTTTTTTTTTTTGATAGATTCAAACTGCTAACCAGAAACGTAATCCTGTTGTTTTATGAGGTTGGCCACTTTTGTTTTCACTGATATTTAATTCTGAGATGCTGTAGCAAAAATGTATGTGTACATGCCTATAAATTAAAAATATAATATTCCATATCTATATTGATGGTGTGTGTTTGTTTTATTTATTCATGTCATATTATTCAGCATTAAATTAAAATCATTCTGTTCTTCTATCCTATAAGAATGCCTTTTAAATGAAGAATTCTGTTTCATGTCTCTCAAACATATTTAACAATAGTGTTTTCCTCTTACAGAATTATATTTCATTCCTTTTACAGTTTCATCCATTAAAGTAACCTGTTGTAAAAGTGAACATATCCTTGTATAGCTATATATCCAAATGCTCTGACAAAAGGCATACAGTAACTAATGGTTCAGCTCTTGTATTTAAGAAGAGTAAAGTGCGTCTGCCACTACACAAAGTAAATACAGTACAAAACAAAAACAAACCATTCACTCTATACATTGTATCACACCTTAAGTGAATTTGGATGAATTTTTACCCAGGTATGTTCACACTGAGTGGAGGTCACGGCGGTAAACTTTCTTTTTTTTAACACAGCACAGAAATAAAAAGTATCAAACAAAACTGTAGCAACAACTGAATACACAATGTCTTATGCTCCACACCAAGTCTTGTGTCGTCCAGTCTGTGGTTAAACTGCTATATGATGAGATTATGAAGATAATCTCATCATGTGAGGTGAATTCAGCGGGCATGTTGGATTTGTTTGGTTTAGAAGCGGTAGGCCAGCTGCTCAGTGAATCTGAATGGCTTGGTTTCGTTGACGGTACACAGCAAGTCCCTCATGCGTCGAGCACGTCGCTCCTCAAGCACCAACCTGCGGGAGCGCTCTCGAGCCGCCTGCTGCTCAGCCCGCTTCTCGGCTCGCTTCCGCTTCAGCCACCTGAGGACGGGAAGAGGGTGGAGATGAATGTTATATTACTGCCATATTACCATATCCCATATCATAGTGCATATATGAAGATATAGTTGTTCAGTGGTGGATTCAAGCTGTTTGAGGGGCAGGGGCAAGAAAATAAAAGGGGCACCAGCATGCAGAAAGTTGTGATGCATTTATGGGGAAACAGATTAGTCAGGATTAGCACCCTAGAAGGCACTTTATCATGTTTTATCCACAATAGGGGCATCTAAGGGTCAAAGTTAATGATAAAAACATTACAATGACATCATTGGTTAAAATTACACTTCTCATAATATAATTATTTTTATGTAATACTATGTTATCAACCAGTATTAACTAAAATGCCAATGCGTTTGACACTTAGGCTACGTTCACACTGTGGGCAAAAGTGACCCAAATCTTTTTTTTTTTTTGCTCATATTTAACTCAAATCTGTACAAATCACACTGAAACTGATCTTTTCATTTCGGATTTGGGCCACTTTCATATGTGGTCTAAATCAGCCACAGGTCAGATTTGTTTTACAATGTGACCTCAGTCTGAACAGTCATATCAGACTTGATGTGAATTTTATGTAACTCTAGAGCTACGTTCATCACACAGGTCATTTCAGGACCATGACCTGTTCACACTGGAGACTGATATGGGCCACATTTAAAAAATAATGTGAACAGCTGAACAGAAAAAAATCTGAAACAATAAATCAGAATTGAGCGCTGAGGTTTGCAGTGTGAATGTAACCTTACTTGCTGAATAAAAGGTCAACAGCAAACTCACAGTTTGAAGGCACGTTCACACTCCTCGCGGCTGCGTAAGAGGTAACCACTGTCCTCTTCGAGCCTCTTCATCTCCACCAGCTGTCTCTCTTTCTGCTGCTGCTCCTGCTTCCTCTGAAGCCACAGCTTGAAGGACTCCTCTGGGTCACTGGTGTCTCTCTGCATGAGGATGCAGAAATACATCCAGTAATGAAGTGAAAATGATGGCAAACATTTACTACAGATGTGTTGGTGAATGACTGGTGCAGTGATTTGTTATGAATCAGCTTTATGTTTCTGTTTATGACAAATAGACCATTGCAACTACCTCAGGTAAACAACTACTTTGCAGAAGTGGATTAAGGAAAATTAGATGCTCTGAGCATCTAAAAAAGCTCTACTGTACTATATGACTCGGCTACATACATAAAAATGATTAAATCACCATTTATTTAGGTAGTATGTAATTCTACCAAAATATAATGATAGATTAAGATTAAAGCAAAACTAACAAATCAAGAGTTCCTTTGCAAAAACAGATGCCATTCTTGAAATGAATATACCAACACCAGTTTGTTTGACTGATATTCCCTTGAGAATTACAAAAACTTCAAATAATTTTTCAGATATTGGTTCATATTGGCACACTGTAGCCTACCTCCAGTCCTTCCACTGAACAAACATACTGCATTAAGCCTGTATCACTGCTATACATCCATGCTTTGTGAAGTTGGTGTGCCCCCTTGTGGTCAGACCTTAGAATTCATCCTCTCCATCTCCTGAGCTCGGTGGATGCGTCTTTCCTCTTGAAACTGCTCTCTCTTCCTCATCACCCAGGCCCTAAACGCCAGCTCATTGTCTTGCCTCCTCTGCTCGTCTTCCTCCCGTTTCCTCTGCTCTTCCTGACATGGGAAATAAGGGTGATTCTATTCAAATTGTGATTTAAATCATTAACAGCAAGCCCTCGCTTTGACCAATAATACCACGTCTTTTCTACCTCTCTGGCCAGCTTCTCCTTCCTCTCCTGGATCCTCTGCAGCAACTCTTTCTGCTGTGGCGAGAGGGTGTAGGTGCCCTGGCAGGGCGTCCCGGTGGCCGACTGCACCCGCCGCTTGCTGCCGTTCCTCTGGCTGCCTCTCTGGCTGTGGCTGGCTGAGCTGGGCCTGCTCCTGGGCTGAGCTGGAGGTCTGGGGGCACGGAGGTGTTCAATGCCATGTTGGAAGGTGGAAGAGCCGGCACGAGAACGAGGAGAGGAGGAGGACCTGTGCACCTTGCTGGAGCTCGCAGCCTGCTCCTGGGGACGTGGGGAAGAGCGTGAGTAGTCGCTGTAGTTGTTTGATATAGGAGGGAGCAGTGCTTGACTCTCCACCTCCTTCAGGCTGACTAGATCAAACTTCCCATCTTTTTCTACAAGGACTCTGCCCTCCTTTACCCCCTGCCCTCCCTCACTGCTCTCTCCAGCCTTGCCAGATCCTCCAGATCCTGCACTTCCCTCCCGTGGAGAAAGTTTTAGCTCGGAAAGCTTTGCTGACACTTCAACCTCGGCCTCTGAATCCTTGGCTCTATCCTTGCTGCCCTGCCCCCCTTCCACCTCATCACGGTTGCCATCTTTCTCAAAGTGCAGTGGAGGCACCACCAGGTCCACCAGCTTCTCTTTAAAATGCAACCGCCTGCGCCTTGTCATATCCGGGGCCTCCTGGTCCCGCAGCTCCCGATTAGCCTGCTGGATCTTCTCCAGAATGTACTTCTTCTCCTCATCTGTCTGCTCATCCATCCCTGGAGGAGGTGGGACTATAGGTGATGACTTATTTGGGCTGTCTCTGTCTGAGTCATACTCTAATGGCTCCATAGGCGAGGGCCACCGCTCTTCATCTTCTTCCAACTCTGTTTTGTTGCTTCTCTTCTCTTCCTTGTGGCTTTTCGGTTTTCTTTTCATTGCTTGCCGTTCCTCCTCCTCCTCCAGTTCTTTGTCAATTTCTGCTTCTATGTCCGCATAGTCAGGACCCTGTGGGGCAGAAAGGCGGACACTCTGCTTTCATTAATTAGGTCTGAATGTAATCGAATGACCAACATCAATAGGGAGCAGGTAAAAGGCGTGCTGGTGTGATAACAGACATGTGTAAGTGTGTTCATCAATATTGTATCCAGCAGTGGCACAGTGAAAGTATGTCACTGTATGTCAACAGAGTAGGTTTCACATGCAAACAGGGAGATATGCCAGATCGGGTAACTCAACACTACTGTCACACTTTAACAGAGCAGGGTCGGGGACGCATGCAGCATCTACATTGCAGTAAGTAGAGCGGGACTCCAAACTCAGTTTCACACAATAAAATAATGAAGCAGGGCGATAAACTTACCTGGTCCTCACTCCGGCTCTCCTCACCGATCAGCCAGTCCAGATCCTTCTCAAAGTCGTCCTCATATTCCTCTTGGGACTTCGCACAAACCACCTCACTCATAATCTTCACTGGAAGAACATCAGAGACAAATTTAAGATATGATGATTCTTGCCACACTAGGGCCTAAAGTAAAGTGATATCAGTCGGTCAACCCTGAGCAAGATATCTCAACATCTACGGATCAGTTAATTAAGAAATTTGTTCTGGATATTCATGGGCATTCCTAGTGATTTGGGATTTAGTGCCAAAGTATCCTCTTGACCCACACAAGAGACACTAGAGAAACTAATTTGGGTATTCATGGTATGCAGAAGATACATTTAAATGTTTTTTTTTATGACCCCAAGACACATCCAAATTTTTAACAAATAGGGATTTTTTCTGGGGGTGTTACGATGAAGGTCACTACTGGGCAAAAACTCTTCAAACTCTATTTCAATTTTAATGATCTTTTTATAGATAATATTTTATATTTAAAAAGACATAATAATAGGTAGACAGACATAGATTCTTTCCACTCATGCAGTTTAACTCTCACTCTCATATTAAAGAATTACAAATACTACAGGGTGTTTGGTTTGCCTATATCGAATGACATCCTTGACATCTCATATAATAATATGTAGTATCTGTATTACAGTAATTTACAGTAATCCTAATACAGAAGTAGATAATAGTGAAGCAAATAAAAAACTAAAACATCACACAAATACAGTCACTTTATTTTTTGTGTCACATTTGAAGAAGACCTGGTCTTTGGGTTGTTGTGGCACTAATTATACCATCCACCATATACCTGTTCGGCCATCATCACACCACTATATGAATATATAGATCACACTGTCTATGGTTACTGTACTGCACTCGTGTTAGGGATTGGTCGCCACCTGCTGGACAGAAACTACAGGGTTACCTGTAAACTATTGTTTTTATTTTGTGTCACAAATATGCCCTGTCTGCTCACATGTGGGTTATGTTTACTGTAGCTATTTTATTGTGACAGAATAAAGAATAAATGTCACTGGTTACAAGACAGGGTTTAACATACATAGACTGTAATCCAGTTTATATTTATAGCTCTGCGGGCTGTAAACAATCAACAGGACAGAGGCAGAATAAAGAGGGTGAGTTGTAGAGCACATCCCCTGTCTGCAGGAATAATATCACTCAAAGTATTTGCCTACTGGGAATAAATAGCAGAATAAACTGTGGCAATATGGTTGTTAACTCACCACTAGCAGGTTCTTGCGTAGTATATGTATTGAGTTGTTGGCGGTGAAAGAACACATCCAGTCGGGTTGTTTTGTGACTATCACTCCATCTATCTGGCCCACATAGTGCCTGGCAGTCTGCGGAGCAACACCTGTGACCATAATCTGCCTCTAGTCCTCTACAGCCCTCACAGCTTTAATAGACCCGTCGTCATAGAGACCTACAACACGCTTTACTACTTGCGCATGCGCACACAGGACTCCCGCACAGCTAAACTGGCTCCCAAGTAATAAAATCTCCATGTACACACAGTAAACAAGGAGAAACCGCCTGATTGTACCCGGAGCCATTTAGAAAACAGAACAACTGTAATCTTGGAAGAAATTTTAAAACTTGCAATAAAAATAAAAACAGCGCTGTCTCTGTATTCTTTTATCATACAAGGGACAAGTTACAGTATTATATGACATTAAATGCGTTAATTTAACCAGTGTTCTCTTGTTCGCTCTATGACATTTAACATATAACATCATACTTGGTATGTTCATGCTCGAGCCGCAAACAAAACTACTTTTGTTTACAAGTATTTTCGTTTATTTGGGATTATGCGCCCGTAAAGCACAAACTAATCTGATAAAATAATAATAATAACAATGATGATATCATCTGAAAACGTACAAAGGTAGAGTGAGTCTTGCTTTATTACTTATCTTGTAGAGAAGGGATGATAAATAACTGCACACCAGAAGAAATACTGTATCGCTGAATGATTGGGGGGATTCATTCAATCATGTAACAAACAGAAGCACTTGAATTCACCTATACTGTGAAGCTCAAAAATACGGAGCATATATAACAGTCAGTAAACGCAACATTGATTCTAACGCGCAGTGCACTCTGGATCTTGAAGTTCGTGGCAGGCTTCCACTAACAGGAGAGCTCTGAACCGCGTACGACGGGGTGACGACATTTCCCGTGTTGCCTCTGTCACTAACGAGGGACTACACGCCTCTTTTTGAGCAACTTCTTGAAGCACGACTGACAATCAGCACGTAGACATAACTTCTTCTTCTTCTTCTTCTTAATGTTTAGTACAGCATAACTACCAACAGTCGCTACGCAGCGAGGGAAGAGCGGGTGTTTCTCCTACAAATGGCCTCCATTGTCTTTTGCTCTGTAAACAAAACGGCTCGAACCGCGGCGAGGCGATGTTTGGGTTCTCATTTAAAGGGGCTCGCTAGTGCAGGAGAGTCTTATTCGCCGCTATCCTCCACTCACAGCCGGTCGCTGACTTTGCTTCCGGGGACGAGATGGTTTTCCAGGGGATCCAGCGTGCGGTTCATGTCCCATGGGACCGCAGGCAGATCCGGAGCCGGGCGAACCAGAAGGGGAGCCCTGGCGCTCGGTGGAGCCGCGGCGGTAGCGGCAGCAGCGGCGGTAGCGGGGCTTTTAGCCAACGCTAACCACTTCCAGCGTGCCGAAATGGCAACGAAAATATCCCAAGCCGTCGAGAAGGAAGAGGAAGAGCGGGATATCTTGGAGAGATGCCGGGGGTTCATGTCTGCTCCGGTGACCGACATCGGTGTGCTGCAGGAGAGGAAAGGGGAGATGAGTACGAGGATGGAGATGTTGATCATGGAGACGCAGGCCGAGTTCTGCAAAGCCCTTCAGCAGGCGGACGGTGGGACGTTCAAGGTGGACCAGTGGCAGAGGAAGGAAGGTGAGAGCTCGATGGAGTATAACAATAGTATTATTATTATTATTATTATTATTATAAGCATTTTTCTTTTATTATTGTCAATTATATGTGTAATTGTTGACTTGCAGTACTTGCTTTCATCTTAGTTTATAGTTGTTGTGTTTATTTCATACACCAGTGTACCAAGGACAAAATTCCTTGTAGGCCTCTGTGAAAACCTACTTGGAAATAAACCTAATTTTGACAGATCCGTGTTTATCCAGACTATAACGCTACTTAAAGAGATCCTCAAAATCAGGAACTACAACAACCAATCTCATGTAAATCTCTTTAAAATGTAGGCTACTGCTTTTTTTTTTTTTTTTTTGACCTGGTGTGTGTTTCAGGTGGCGGAGGGATCAGCTGTGTGATGCAAGACGGGAAGGTGTTTGAGAAGGCAGGGGTCAATGTGTCAGTGGTGTCCGGATACCTGACCGAGGAGGCCGCCAAGCAGATGAAGAGCAGAGGGAAGGTCCTCAAAGGGAAAGATGGTAAATTCTGCTCACTTGAAATTTTAAATGCAGGCTTAAAACTTGACACAGCTTTGAAGACCTATATTCGGAGTAATGTGTAATATAATGAATAAACGTTGCATGCTTTCCTCCCAGGTAAGCTGCCATTTTGTGCCATGGGTGTGAGCTCTGTTATCCACCCCAAGAACCCCCACATCCCCACAGTGCACTTCAACTACAGATACTTTGAGATCGAAGAGGAAGATGGTGAGTGTGCGACGTCAGCAGCTGGGTCTTGGTGTCAGTGACACTATTGAGTACATGAATGAATGATAACCCTTGTTTCCGTCTTCCTTGTCTGTCTTGTGTGTGTGCTCCAGGCTCTAAGCAGTGGTGGTTTGGCGGAGGCACAGACCTGACTCCAGTTTATATTAATAAAGAAGATGCCTTTCACTTCCACAACACCCTGAAGGAGGCCTGCGACAAGCACCACCCGCAGTACTACCCCGACTTCAAGAAATGGTATAATTTGACTCAAAATTAGTCCTGTGTATGTATTTGTGTGTGTGTGTGCGCCTCCCCGCACGTATGCCTGATATGTGTATTAGTGTGTGCGGATGACAATGGGTGTATCTTTACTGTAAGACGATGATAAGAGGAAGCCTGTGCCTAAAACCGTTGAGCCATGACTGTGAGCCAGCAAATGACCATTGGGGATAGGAAAAGACAGGGTGTGGTTTATCTGATGTGACTCGTAATAAGTAATGTTTGTCAAGTTTTTGTTCAAGTTTAAAAGGAATAGATAGGCATTTGAGGAAATACTAGAAATAATAGACGAGAAGATTGATACTCGTCTTATATATATGTCAGATTTAGTTTTTTTACCTACCAACAGAGCCAGGATAGATGTTTCCCCCCTCCAGTGTTTATTCTAAGATAAGCTTAGCTAACTATCTCTTTGCTTTGGCTTCTAATTTAACAGGCAGACATGAGAGAACATTTTAACTCTCATTTAAGTTCCTTTATCAACTGTCACTATAGATGTGCTTTCCCTTAGAAATAGCAAAAAATAATAATTAAAACAAATGTGCTTTTACTTGAATTACTTTTAATTCCCTTTTGTCATAATTGTACTTTAACTGACTTTATGATTGTTTGAAATAACATCATTTATGTATTTTGTATTAAGTTCAACCCTGGTAAAATAAAATAAAAATGGAAACAGCTATTGGTTGATGTATTTGAGTCCACTTCTACATTTTGTTGTTTGTGTTTTAATTAAGTTACTAATACACCTTGGTTTGTTCTCTCCACTGATTCCACAATTTAATCTATAGCCTGACATAGAAACTGTTTAACTGTTCAATTCTTCTGCTGTCTAGGTGTGATAGATACTTCTACATCCGCCACAGAGGAGAGACTCGGGGTATAGGCGGGATCTTCTTCGACGACCTGGACTCCCCGAGCCAGGAGGAGGTTTTCAACTTCGTCAAGAGCTGCGCCCGCACTGTGGTGCCGTGTTACCTGCCCATCGTATATAAACACCTGAACGACTCCTTTACCGATGAGGAGAAGGACTGGCAGCAGGTACGACGAGGAAGGTGAGTAAAAGATTCGCAGAAGAACCGGTGGCTGTTAATGAATAATAAGTGACCTTAATATAGGAGATTGTGAATATCAATCTTCTGCATAAATACCTTTATTGCTCAAACAGTCAAATCAACTACGACGTAATCGACTATAAATATACTCACACTAACATTAAACCTGCTTTTGATAGGCGATCCATTGCAGATAAGATTTAGTTTCCTTTATTTTGTAAAAGTTAAAAAAAGATAATAATAAAAAAAAAAGGAAGTTGACACTCGTTGATTTGATTCAAAATGATATATATATGAAAAAGTTTTGATGTGGACTCCATGCACAGCCTGTGTGGTCCAACGCTGGAGCGGATCCTGGCAGAGCCCTCAGGCCCAGCAGGGAGTCTTAAAGTCATTTAGTCAGAGACTACAACACAGAGAATGAGCTAAAGAGAGTTTATTATTAGTATTATTATGGGAACAAGTGTGACGTGAGATTGAAAGTCAGACAGGAATTGGGTGGGGGAGATAAAGGAGAACAGTGAGGCAGAGTCCTGGCTTAGTCACGTCACTGAACTTCAGTTAACTTTTACTCCCATGAATGTTGTGTGGTTGTTGATGTGCAGCGCTCGAAATGAAGGATGTACCAATATCCCTGGGACGATTGTATATTTATCATTACAAATACAATTATTATGATTTGCATAATGGAATATGTATACTGTATTTTAATTATTAGTCAGTTACGTGAGTACGATCTCCACCTGCTCTATATGAAAAGTGTCCTGAAATCACTTCTGTTACTTCTGTTTTATACACAAATAAAATTGAACTGAAAAATTGAATTGAAAAAGGTCCTTACACACACACACACACACACACACACACACACAAAATCATGTTGCCAGCCTAGCGACTTTCTCACTAGATCTTGCGACTTTCAGATGCTCTCAACTTTATACATTCAAATATATTATAATTCATTCCCAAGCATGCTGTTCAAAGTAATTGCAGTCTTCTGCCAACAGCAGGGGTCTCTCCCTCTCTTCGTGAGCCATGCGCAGGCATTCAGTAGGTGTGGCAGGTTTGACCTTCTACCTCACTCTTTATCTCTTTATTAGGATGTGCCTTTAGCCTATAAGTAAATAGTTTGTTTGAACTGGTAAATATTTAAATTCCGTTTGCTCTTCCCTTGTAGATACCTTTTTACTTCACATGTACAATGTTGTATTTGCAGTTTGTAGCAACAAAAAATAACAATGACTAAAAGAATAATAAAAACTGACCTACAGTGTTGATAAAGTAATGCAGGTTACTGAAACACTAATATATATATATTATATACAATGAAAAATGAACTTCAATTTGGGACAATGGTCGTTAAGTCTTGGACAGTTGAAAGTTAATTTAAAGCCCTGGTTATGCAGCAGAAAGTTCAGATTCATTTGAACTGTCTTTTAGGTCAGTGTGCATTTCTTAACCCTGAAAGCAAACAGAATGCAAAGATAGTGTGTTAATTTGGTTATTTTTTAGCATTACAAAGGTTCATGCAAAGCAGTCAAGGCCCACGACTATTCTGTCAGAGCACATAAATGCACCAACCTGGAAGACTTAAATTATCATGCAACAATAACTTCTACTAATATAATTACAACTAAAGGTCCGCTGTATGGATTACCTACATCAGTTTATTATTGATTCAAATTCTCAAAAAATCCCAAAGAAGTTTTGGATTGGATTAAGGCACAATGTAATGGTAACATAAATCACATGAAGAAGGATCTCTACAGTACTTATTTCTTTATTTGTGTCTGTTGTAGATATGTGGAGTTCAACCTGGTGTATGACAGGGGAGTGAAGTTCGGCTTGGCCACGCCTGGCTCCAGAATTGAGAGCATTCTCATGTCCCTCCCCCTCACTGCCAAGTAAGATAACACCGCTCTTGTATGACAGTATGACAGTGAGCCTTCTGTGTTGCTTGGTAACGAACTCGCCCTTCATCCTCAGGTGGGAGTACATGCACGAGCCTGCCAAAGGTACCCAGGAGGCCGAAATGCTGGAGGTATTAAGAAACCCCAAGGAGTGGGTGTGACCGGTGTTTACAGGTTTATATGTCGATATGGACAAAATATCCAGGAATTCGTCTTTGTTGTATTTTACAATGCTGTGACCTGTTTGATTAGATCATCAGCAGTTAACACTGTCTTTACCAAAATAATATGAAGTGGCAATACTTCTCTGAAGAGGTTTTTAATCTGCCTTGGTAATTTTGCTACGTTTTGTCAAATCCACTTTCATAGCACTTAATCGCACTGGGGATCGCATTACTACTCAGAATAAGACATTGTGTTTTTAAACTTGGGCTTTGTGCTATTGCTTACTACCTGGAAAGGTAAAGGGAGACCAAATAGTGTAATATTACAGGTGGCCATTGTACCAGCTTTTAGGTCATCTCACACCGATGATGTGCTCACTTTAAGAAGTGTTTGTGTCAAACACTAGCTGTGTTTTTTTTTTTTTTTCTGTGCCTGAGCTAAATGTGGCTTGCTCTACTTGAAGTTGTCACAGCTTTAGTCTCCTCTGCTCTTCTTTAACAAAGCACTGAAAGGGAAAATAGGGACAAGCTGAGCCACTGTATGTGTGGTATGCCACCACTATCAGATGTTAATAAATCTGTTTGGTTTTTTGTATGTTTCAGTGCATCTGCTGCCAACAAAGGGTTATTTTTGACTATCAAAGCTCAATAATAATAATAATGGACTGACCTCTCTTGAGCCCTGTTTATGTTGTGGTTGGTTAATGAGTCACTTACCGGTTTGTTTGAACAGCAGGAACAATACAGGGATTTTGGATTATGTTTCACAGAGAGGATAAATATGAATTACAGGCCAGGTGGCTCATTGAAGGAAGAAGTGTTTGTAAATCAAAATGCCATTTGGAATGTAAAAATAATATATAGCTAACAATTGTAATAAATTGTTCCAATACCGTACCTTTGACTCTGATATTCTATATAAAACGTCCCCTTTGTCCTCACTCTGACTTGAGTCAACAACTCAAATCCAAGACCCCATTTTTATGGTTTCATTCTCAATTTGTTGTGCATTATTCACCCTTTAATGTTCCTTTGAATTTCTATGATTGATTGATTAGCAAGAGACTGAGCAGATTTCAGCAATGTATCATGCATTTCTAAAATGATCCTCAGGCGGGTGCTGTAGAGGAGAACAGTGGAAAACAAATGCTTACAAATCCTTACAAAAAAGAATATTTGTACTTCCTGGATCACGTTCACAATTCACTGAATGAAATTAAGGAAACGTATTGCACATTTTTAATATTTTATTACAAATTAATTCAAGCTTTTGCACATAAAGGATTTATCACAAGTTCCCTTGCATTTAATGTTATATAACATTTTGTTTGTTTGATAAGGCATTGTAAAAAAAGGGCTCTGCAAATAACAGTACAACTGACCTAACCAAAATGGCTACCCCCACCAGCACAACTCAGTTCAAGGTCATAGCAAGTGCTGAGGTTCACAGGTCAACTCACAAAAAAAAGTAGAACTAATCAGTGCTCAAAGTCTGTGAGGTGTAGACTGAAATGTGACATTTATCAGTATCCATGAACATTAGACAGATATATTTGGTTTTTAGAGTGTATGCAGCAACATTGCATATAGAATATGAGCACTTTTTTTCCAGAGGATTACAGTGACATCGTTATGGCTGAGAGTGACGCTGAAGACGTCAAACCAGACTGTCCTAGTTTCCATCAAACTGCTCATTTTGAGCTTAAACACAAAGTGCCTTCATTTATTCACAACTTACTGTATAGTAGTTACACTAGTATTAATGCATCCACTGCATTCGTATGCAGTAAAAAAAACCATCTCACCGTGATTTATTTCCACACATACAGACTATACATATGTATATACAGGAACATTACCCATGCTTAACATTGACTTTTCGACGTTAAATACAGAATCTCTCCCCTCAGAAGACTTTTCCCAAAGCTTCTGTTTCTACTGATTTCTGTCCCACATTCCTGTGCAAGTCACTCCATGACATACATTTATGGTGTACCTGCAAACCTATTTGAAGAATCATCTCCGTACTAGTAGGAAAGAGTCTGTAGTCAAATCCAACAAGGTGACATTTACTTTAAGGGAAAGGTGAGGCAAGGATTTTCACAGTTAAAGCGGGCTCTGGGCCACTGTCAATGGCCCAGAGGTGGACATGGGCCAGTGTAGCACTGACCATCAACAAACAGTGCAGAGCCAGATCCAACATCAGACCAAGCTGCATGCATTACCAACATACGCACATAGGACACACATACACAAAACACATTTCAACACACCCATTATAACGGACATTTTAAATTTGAAACATTCACAAGTGTATACTGAAGTTGGACCGATGCATTCATTTGGCAACTTGACTATTTAAACCTGTAATAAGTTATATTTTATATATCTCAACAGTGAATCTGATTGCTGACTGTAATGTGGAAGAATCACTAGTAGTGCCGAACCCAATGAGAATAACATCCAACTCTGAAGCTCTCCAAGTGTTGACTAACTGTTCTATATCCTGATCATTTACTAAATACTTGGGTCTTAACGCTCCCTTTTTATGTGCTATTTACAGTTAACAAGCCCACACAAGCTAAGCCTCCACTACTTCCTCAGCACCAAACTGTAAAGAGCTGAAGTAAATTACTGATTTTTTGAGTGTATTTTAGTACTTCGAAAGCTAAAGACCCAGATATTTCTATCTGGAGTCGGTCAGACCAGAGCTAACAGGTTGATGTTGAACTCAACTGGTCCCTGATTGCTTAATGCAAGCAACTTTAATTTGGGTTTCACTGGAACTGTTGTGTTCTAAATGCTGTATCTGAATCTTGAAGAGCAAACCTATTCAATGTACAAAATGCTAGGTGGAAAAGTAAATACCTATTTTTGACAACAAAGAGGTAAAATTTAAAAAGGTATTAAAAATAGGTGCAAAATATAGACTGTTACTACTATAAAATTGGCACTGACTAAAGAGCATCGGTCCAACCCCAAATACACTTTTAGAATAGTCGTCCTTCATTATGGCAATCAAAACCCTTATTTCTTTAGGCCACATGCATCACTTGTTATGTCTGCTGAGTTAAATGATTTGCTACAGTGCGACAGCATAGATGCAACTTGAGGAAAATCAGCAGAGGTGTCGGTTGGTTTTGGTATTGCAATATCACTTTCTCCTCATTGATGAAAGGTTAGTGCAAATTTTAACAGCGCTGCCTCCGGGAAAGATTGCATTAGTCCACTGACCGGACAGTTAACAGTGTTTGTGTTGAATGGGGAAGGCTGGTGATACCACGACAGTGGCTCTGCTAAATGATAAAAGATGGTCTTAGTGTGGGTTAGGGCTTTTGTTGGGGTGGTAGTGAAAGACAGTTTTACTTCCCGTGGCCACCGTTGACACTAGTAGAGCTGGTGTTGACTATATCCTCATACTGTGGAGGCGGCTCCGTCTCTATTTGGACGTCTGTACTGCCCACGGCCTCCTCATAAGATGGCGGCGGGTCTCCGGCGCTTCCTCTCCCTGATGTGAGCTCTGAGCCTGGATAAGCTGGGCTGCTGTGGACGCTGAGTTCTGATTGGTCACCATGTTGGTAATCCCTCCCCCAATGGTCCATAGAAACCACTGACAGGACGTGGTCGTGATGCGAGTGTCCCAGGCTGGGGCTGCGCTCTGAGCGCTTGCGAGAGTGGCAGCGCCACACAGTGATGGCGACTGCGGCAATGATGAGCACAACCAGCAGCAATGGCACAATCAAGTAGAGCGAATGGACTCCGCCAACCACCGTCTCCAGCCCTCCAGATGGACTGCTCTCCCGCACATATTCCTCCCAGAATCGTCTCTGCAGCCAATCAGAAGACAGACGCACATGTTGTCACGGATAAAAAACATTTTCTCTGCCTCATTCATTCAGGCTACAGTGGAACAAAACCGTTTCCAAAACACAGGGTCACAGGACATCCAGTGTCCAGTGTATGAATACTTTTTATCTGGATTACTGCAACACAAAGGCAGTAGACAACGAAACCCGAACAAAAAGCAACCACATGATTGTGCACGTCCATCTGCGTGACTTTGCTCTCTGGCCTCTCACAATAGTTTTACAAATACGCCTCCCTCTCTAGCGTACACTCGGCTGTTCTTCCTGCTGATAATCATCACTTCCTGAAAAAACACCCACATTCCACAAGTTACCACTCTCAGTGTAGGATTGCATTAGTGGACACATGAACCCTACAAAAAGGGGATATGTTGGATGTGTTACATAGAGCAGCTGATATGAGTTGCTCAGCAGTAGTAATATTGATTTGTGGATTTTAGCTCCAGCTGGGTGTCTCCTGTGTGCCAGATTGCAGCCAGCCAGCTACAGCCAAGATCAAAATAAGATTTAATTATGAGAATTAAGCTGCAGAAAGATCATTTAATTTGTGTACCATCTTTTGGATAACTGTATTTTTGCTTATGGGGTTGTTGCTTGTTATTTTTATTTAAACTACCCCATGAGCTGAGGTTAAAGTTTTGGCTGACCACTCACAAGCTGGCTGGGAAACTTCTGAACACAGGACTCCCAGCTGGAGCGAATATCCCTGTACATACATTACCGCTGGTGAGTGACTCAAACCACCTAATGCCAACAGAACCATCCCTTTATGTGGTTTATCTGGGTGGCCTCGTGTAGCCGTGTGCAACGTGTGGCAGGTGTTTTGTTCCACTTTTCAATCCCTGTGTGTATTTAGCCTTGAGGAAAGGTGGAACTGTAGGTCTGATGTGATTCAGCTCCCGTCCTCTCACCGTCTTCTCGTCATTCTCGAAAGCCTCGCGGGCCTCCTCATAGGTGCAGATCTCCTCACGGCACTCCCGCTGGATGTTACCCTGCTTCATCTCCTCCAGCAAGAAGTTGGCCCTGCGCAGCCTCCGCAGCACCGAGTGGGCCGCGTCTGCCGGCAGGAACACTGCGGGGCAGGAGACAGGAGGGGGAGAGACAAACACAAGGGCAGAGAGAGGGGGGGGGGGGGATAG